TGGATTGTTGGTCTGCAGCCCCGCCCTATAGAATGAATCAAATAAGGAGAGGCGACCGAGCCACTCTTATACTACTCCTTACCTCACCCCCTTCTCACTCACTTAAAGGGCGAAGTCGCTGAAGCGAGTCTAAAGGCCAAAGAGTGATCTTTGAACGTTACTACGCATCCTTATTAATTCATAGGTATAGTGTAAGGTAGGTTTGTTTGGGTATAGCAGGACTTGAACCTGCGACCATTAGGTTAAAAGCCCAATGCTCTACCAACTGAGCTATACACCCCAAATATAAAAATATAGTCGTAAATAAAGATTGGTGAAGAAAAGAGGGCGGGGTTGGGTCTGGCCTTCTCCTCATCATATTAAAGGGGCTCTGTATGAGGCTCGTACTACGGAGCAAGCGAAGAATAAGGGCGCGCGTTAGCACTCCTGCAATAAAACGGCCTTACTCAACAAGCGCACCTTTATTAGTAAGTTGTTTACACTCATTGAAGATTCTATCTACAAAAGAAGGTCAACGGGGGATACTAAAGTTGCTCTCACTGACACCATCTACGAGAAGGTGAGGTCGTCTTTCTTTCCAGCCGCCATACGGTTCGCCTTAAAGCCGGAGAAAGGGAGGAGCTGTTATCTATGTAATTACGGTCTTTGTTGGCCATTGTTCCAGTCGAGCACTCTCTTTTCTTTGCTTTGTTCAATAGAGTCTTACCAAACAAGACTGACTTCTGACCAACCCGCGAAGGGTTGTGAAGTTGGACCAGGTACGAAGAATGAATCTATATCTGTGTACGGTACGGAAGTTGCTGGCCGGCGGCCGCTCAACTGTTCGAGCGCAATACAGTGGTGGTTGGTTCCGATTCGACAAGGGTATAATGCCTGGTCGAAGGTCCAGTACAGTAGGTAGCAGGCGTGTTCGTTTTGGCTCCCGAGCGAGAATGATAAATAGGCGCTGCACCATTCTTGCTGCTATGTACGTGAACCTTGACTTGAGAGATTCATCCAATGGAACCCACACTCAAAGGAGGACCACAAGCTCGGGGCTCGACGAAACATAAAATATCAGCATTAAGAAACTTATTGGGGTTAGCAGTGAAAGAAAGAGCCCGACATTCATTCATATTCATAGCTTAGTCTACAAAAATAAAAGAGGGACCAGCCTCATTGTGGTAATTATCGGACATCTCTGATCGTTCACCTCTAATGTGACACGTTCCCTCCCAGTTATATGATCAACGGGATCAGTCGGCTAGAGAGCGGGGCTATTCTTCTTCCGGGGAGGCTAAGTCGTCCCCTCTACTGATCGAACCCTCAGTTCGGGGGTCTTCGTCAACATGTTATGAGGCTCCAGTCTTCGGCGGGTCACCATTACTTGACTTAGAAAGGCGAACATCTAGGCAAGGGAAAGCGCAGTGCGCCTGGTGCAAATGGCTTTTATTTTTCATGATATACCAATCAGAATGGGGGACCCTACCTACGTACATGATTGATAGAAGAACTACTTAGGGGGTCGGTTAACTTGATGCGGCAGAGGCATGAGTGCAGTTCGATCTTGTGGTGTATTCGTTTGTAGTGAGTAGGGCCTCTTTCTCGTTGATCAGTTCGCCTCCGCTCTATTGAAAGGTCTCCATTCCTACGGCGGTTTTGTCAACGAACGCGTCTCGGGCCGGATTTACTAACCTAACCCTTAATTAAGGGGGCCTTGCCGTAGTTGGGTGCTCTGCTTTAGTGTGATTGACGAAGGCTAGGCTAGTAATACCCCAAATAAATGAAAAGAGATCGGGGTCGATAGTTGGCAAGGAACTTGATCCCCCCAAAAAAAAAAAGGGGCAGCTGCGGTCGAACTCTAATTCTGGAAATAAAATAAGTCGGGGCCCTTTTACCTTACCAAGTCTACCGGATAGAAATTTTAAGATCGGGTTCAAATAGATACGGGAAAGGCTTTATCCCTAAGTGGAATCGGTGGAATGCCCTGCTTCCGGCTAAGTATACAGAGTTGGGTCTACCGTTCGTTCAACCGTTACCTCTATTCTATTCCGATCTTTCTTTTCTCCTTTGCTTCCTTGTCTCGTCTATCCTTCTCTGCCTTCAGCTTGTCCTGGAGCTCTATCCCGTCCTTCCTTTGGCTTGCCCTGAGGATGGATTTACTCTCCAAAGTCGATTTGATCACTGCGAGTTCGGTTCAAGTCTTCATCGATCGGGTGGATCTTTGAGGGGGGATGGAAAGGTGGGTGAGTCATGGCTGTGGACAGAGAGAAAGAAAGCGGTAGTGGAATAGATTTCTAGTAAGTGTCTTCTTTCCTTCTCTTCTAGTAAAGGCGCGCCGTCAGGTCTCTCTTCTTGGGATATCTTGATCACCAGAAAGGATAGAGATCTTAAGTAGACATGCTTTAGGCATCGATCATCTTCCTAACTACATGGTACTCCCCCTTTTGGCCCTAGAAAAGCTAGCTTTATTTTTCCTTCGCAAAATGTATATGCCAAGTCTTGTTCTGGTTAATAATAAGAGCCCCTTAGCCGATGAAAACAAACAAGAAGAGACATTTAAATTATTATAGCGGGGTTTTTCAATTCAACCGAAACTCCGAAGTCAGATTCCAGGATGCCCCACCTGGGTAAATCCTGGGCACTCACTCAAGTCAACCCTGACTGTCTCTCTCTCCCTACTAGATAAACGAGTGGATTCTCTTTGGCGCGGAAAGTGAGCTTAGTTTCTTCGCCTCAAGTCAGAGCTCTTGGCTTGCTTTCCTCTCTAGTACATGAATTTTATCTCCCTACCGTGCTGTAAAGACAGACTCTGTCCCTTAGTGAAAGCGAAAAAAAAGTAAATTCATGTGAGAGTTGCAAGAATCGGAGGCTGCTTAGAATTAGGAGTCTGACCTTTACCTTTCTTTGGTGCATTCGTCTCTAAGCTCTAAGTCTGTTCTTTCTTTACGAAGAGGTTTTTTTATCAATGTCATTATCTTCCCCTCCTCGCCTCGGTAAAGTAACTAATACCAGTCTCGATCTCCTCTAGGGCTAAATATAAGTAAATTAGTCCTTCTATCCCGAATTGCTAGTCTTACTCTTTTACCTTCTTCTATGATTTAACTAGTCTCAGGGACATCTCTTTACATCCGGCCATTCCTTCTTACCTTTTTAATGAACTCCTAATGCCGAGATAAGGCATTGGTATGTATTATTTTGTTTTCCCTGCAAGGGTATAAGAAGAAGTAAGGAAAGCACAGCTTTGGCTTTCTCGGGATCTCTCCTTGGCTTACTGGACTTCCTGCTTTACTTCTTTACCGAATTACCGGATTGCTAGCACAGGAAAGAGGGAGAGAAGGAGTGTAATAAATTTCAAACCAGATTCCCCGCAACAAAACAAGCTTTAAACCGAATTCCTTCCTTACAGCAGTAGCTGTGCAGTGGGAATAGTCGCCAAATAGACTGAATGAGTCTTAGTGCCGTAGTAGGATTACCTTCGTCACCTTCCCTCTGTCCCTTAACTGCTGACAGCAAGCATTCCTGGGGAAAGTAATCTGTAAAAGAATAGAAAAGAGAAGTAGCATCCTCCTGGTGGAAGGTTTGAAGGAAATAAATCATCAGCTGTGGGATGCTTAGACGGTACTAGTGCTTGAGTAAGCGGTGCTCCCTTTCTGTTTGCAATTACCGTTGCAGAATAGTCATCCCTAAAAGAAGTTGTTTTCAAATTAAAATAGGTTGCTTTTAGAATAGGTTGTTCTCGAATAAGCTCTTTGAAAGATAACTTAATGCGTTTAGTCCCTTGGGGATGGGTCTGCACTCAGGGGCTCTTTTTAGCACTTTTGAGGAAGTGAAGACGAATAGTCGACTTTGTTGCCTGCTTGACGGCTTTCATCTCCTGATGTAAGAAAAGGTGTTCTATCGCATTCTTTTAGCTGCAAGGGAACCGTCTGTAGTGGTTGAAGTAGAGCCAAGCAGCGATGGACTAAGCGAGTCAAATAACGCCGGTGCGAACCATGTTGGATGACGGGTGAGGGTGAGAAAGAAGCCCTGCTCTGCTGCCCTGTGTTAAGCAAAGTGAGTTTACTTCGTTTCAGGCCATGTTATTCAGTCTCATGGAACTAAACTCTTAGATGCAGCATGCAGCCGCCTCCATCCATCGGCACATCCGCCCCGCTTAGCCGCATTGTTCATCTTGAAAGGGAGCCGCGAGGTGCTGTCATGTCAAGCCCAAGGTTCGTTCTACTGCTGTCAAATTTCTGCCATTTACACGGGGGGGGGGGGGGGGGGGGTCTTCTTGCAACGATCTTCGTTTCTTCAGGAATGGTGTCGGTCAATTGGTGTATAGGCCACCTCGGTCCAGTTTAGAATTTACCTCTATTTTAAATCCCGCTTCCTTGTTAGCTGGGAAACCCCTCCTCTATGAAGCAGAGAATGATCGATCGAAGACTGAGAAGATAGAATAAATAATATGTTTTAAGCATCGGTTGCGACATCGAATGAGACTTATCCAGGGAGAAAAGGGAAAAGGAAGACCGAGTGGGATCCAGGAAACTAGCGGACTGATCACTAATAAGGCTCTGCTCTGTCCATCTGAGGAGGAATGCTGCTAAGAGCGGATATGCCCCATCTCTCGAGAGAAAAGTCCCTATAGTATTCCTCCAACAGGTAATTCGTCGAAAAGACTAGCATCGTCTTTGTCACAAAGATGTGGAACTTCGATATAGAAGCTCTTTCGCCGCTAGTAAGCGGTTTAACCTCTCCTTTGTTCACTCGTGTCCCTTACCAAAACAAAACGTTCAGGCACTGCAAAGGCATAAGAAAGCATATAAGATAGGCTCCAACCAAAAAATAAAAAAAAAAATAAGGAAACTAATGCTAATGGATCCGTTTTTCTAGATGACATAGCCCTTGAAAGCCCTATTATGAGCAGGAGAGGATTGGGGGAAAACTAGAGGGGAGAGCTATTGAGTCACTACCTAAGAATATATCCTTTTAGCTTACAGAGGATAAGGATAAAAAAGATCTTTTTGAAAGCGCTACGATATAACTCTTCGAGGCATAGCGACCTTCTTTAAGCCATATTGACGCCGTGTCAAAGACTCTTTATTCTAGGTTAGCTCTCGAGTAAGCGAGAAAGAAAGCATTCTTCGCTCCATGAAAACAAGTCAGTATATCTTGAGTGAGCAAGAAGAATAGAATGCTCAACATCAACAGGATGTACCTTATCCCTTTGGCCAGTCCAGTCCCTCTTTAGCATCTCAATAATTTGCGCTGTTCAGAAAACATAAAAAGAGTAGGTGTCTTGGTTTGCGCAATTGAAGAATAAAATTAAGGGCTTGTTCTCAGATACCCATAAATTGCCCATTTGCAAAAGCACTAGGCATAGAAGGGGCTGTTATGAAGAGTTGTGCAAGTGACATTTTCAACTAAAACGATAAATAAGCCAAAAGCGCACTTTAGATATACTATACTCTAGCTTTAGAGTTATAGGTTGCGACGGTGGAAGTAGAGGTTTAGGCTTGCCCCTGCTAGACTTTGCCTGCCATCTTACTAGAATAAATCTTCCAAGTTTCAAGGGTGCCTTTGTAGCAAGAAGGAGCATCGACTGTGAGGGAATGGTCTCTTGCAAAGAATATAGGGAGGTATTGCCCATACATAGGTGCTGTGCTCATGCCCATGCCATGGGCAATGCCGCAAAAGTTCAGGGACGGCCGTAGCTACAGGTTATTTATTTTTTTAAGATTACATGCTTCTACAAACAGAAGCCCTGATACGAATTGGGCCGGTCTTTCATATGTTTATAACAGCTAGCCAAAAGCATTCCCACTACGGTGGAAGAGATGATTCGGCCAACCAACTAGAGGACAAGGTAAAGCAAAGTCATTGGAAAACCTGACGTGGGCTTGCAATAGGCCCAGCCCAGCCGAAAAGCTTTGGTATAGGAAATAAATAACCTAGCTGTGGAGGGGTCCCCGCGCTAAGACTTTGCACTTGGCTAGTTCGCGTGGATCACTCATCTCTCAACGTGCGTGATTCCATGATGATCGAAGGCTTTGGTGAGGAAAATCATTCCATCCTATGCCCTGGGTCTTGGTCTTTATCAAGGCTATTTGAACTAATCCGAATCATAAAAATAAGATGGGGTTTTTAGGCTGTGACAAGGTCCAAAAGAGATAAGTATAGCGGGAAGAAGGGCGAAAAAAGAGAGAGCGTGACTCGTATTCTTATATTATAATAGATATATATATATATATATATATATATATATATATATATATATATATATATATATATATATATATATATATATATATATATATATATATATATCTAAATAGAATAAAGAATTCTCAGTCTTGTTCTCCACAAGGAGGAAGCTAGCCTATATGGAAGAAAGCATATTCAACACAAAATAGTCGTCTTCTTAGTGCTTATCTCTTTTCAGCGGAACATAAAGATATCCTATACTAGGCCATAAGAAACTGCGTCTTATGGTCCGGTCCATAGTTAGACCTTCCCCAATCCTCTCGTGACGATCCTGGTATACTAGAATGTAGGCCTTTAGCTCCTTATCATTAGCTCTTGCGCTTTCATTTAAGGTCATTATAAAAAGCCAGCCCTTGAAAAGACATATGCAAACCCATAGACATAGACAAGCTGGAGAGACAGGCATAGGACTACCAAAAGCTCACTACAATCTACAATCGGGGATCCCTAAATGCCTATTGGATTGGATGACAGAAAGGGACCATATTCGATTGCCTCGTATAGAACCAACCCCCAAAAAGGTCACTGGAAATGGCTGCCTCACTGCGTGGACTCCTACCATCGAAGCAAACTAGCCTGGCCCAACATGTAAACTTTCTCCGCTTACCCTATGATTGCCGGCCAACAAGCACCACCTGTAGCGAATCCACCGGCGCAACAGCCCCCAGTGTATACAGATGACCGCCATGAGAGTCCAAACCTACCGAACGGGTGTTGGGCTCTTCACCGTGTCATTCTGACGTATGTCCATAGCATGGGGACACCTGATGGGGAACCGATGCCGTCCCACAACAAGGCGCGGCGGGTCTTTGAGCTCGTTGCGAAAGATAGATTAAATAGTAAAGAAGGCCTACTTCACATCTTGCAAGTTATTGCGGAAAACCCCAATAACAATGCCATTTTACGTGAGGCTGATTTGATCTTTGCCGATATCCGGAACAAGGGAATCCGGGATGCCGACCTTGACGAATATTCATTTTTTGAATCGTGAGGGTGTTGTATTATTTGTTATTTCTTTTCCAGTGATGGTCTTATTTTGGAGCGGGAGCCGCCTCGGGATCCCCGGGATTCGGGATCCTCCGCAGCCCAATACAAGTGTATGCTTAAGCAGGCTACTCCCCGAAAATGCCTACGGAAGGTGGGGTAACATTATACTGCCTGTGGGTTCCTCAACCTAGTAGAGTTGGTTCCAAACCTTGAGACTTGAAAGGGGGTGCCCTCGCCCAGAAAGAATAAGCGAAAAAGTACTACTATTGGCCTGGCCCCACAGATATGAAGAGGGAGCTTAGCGACCTATCCTGTACCTGTAAACAAGCGAAGCTATCAAGTAAGGCAAGCTATAGCAAGGGAGTAAGTAAAGAATTTTAGTAGTGATAGAAAGGAAGCACGGATAGCGAGTTGTTATTCTAAAGTCTAATTTATATAAACAATACCGGCTTCAAAGGCAGTCCATCCTGCTAGTTCATGATTGATAGCTGTCAGGTAGGCCGCCCGTTGTTTTAAGTTCGATCATTGACAAGGTTCAAAGAAAGGGTAACCCACCTATCATTGTGAAATAAGAGCACTCGATCAAAGACAATGTCAATTGGCCAAGCCATAAGCACGATGAGCAAGCCGCCCTGGTGCCAAGCTAAGTCCCAAGCTAAAGACAAGGATCACAAAGAGCAAAAGAAAAGACCCGAATATCTTGAACTCAAATAAAACCAAGCTTTCATACCAGGAAATCGAAGATGTGCCAAATCGTTCTCTATTGAATCGTAGTCTAGAGCCAAATGAAACTGATTCCACTTGAGTTGAGCAAGAATAAGTAAATTTACCACGGTCAAGCCTAGTAGAGCTCCTAGTCCGACAAGACTAGCAAACATGCTACCACAGAAAGGAAGGGAAAGAGATCGGAAAGCACGCAACCAAACTGAACGCCAGCGCTTTCACTGGGAAAGTCTCCGTCTCTAGCCGCATTAAAGCCCGGATGGAAAACCCCAGGAATGAAATAAGTTACTCTACCCTACGTCGAACAAGAGTTGGCTTCCTTTCTAAAAGGCCTACTATGCTGCCTTTCTTGGCTTGCTGCCTTAGCTAGCTCCCTTTCGTACCGGTTCCCCAAGGTCTGATTCTGCCCTTAACCCGTGGAGATAACGAGATTTACTAATGATTTTATCGGTGCGAAGAATAGCCCCACTCCTATATCCTAAAATATTATATTTTAGTTAGCTACTCACTCAGTCCACAGATTCGGATTAGTCAAAATAGAACTAGACAGATCAAGGAGAGAGAAGGCTCATCGATCAGTATTAGCTATGGTTCCTTTTGTTTATTCAGTCAGCCAGGCAGAAGTGGAAAATTAAATAGATAGAGTAGATCCTATTCTAGATGGATTAGATAGAAACCTTACCTTAGCGTGATTCCATGCCTTACTTTCCCGATAGCGGAATCTATAGATGTTCCCATGGAGCGGTAACTAGGTCCAGTGCCCAAAAAAGGAAGCTTATCGAAGGGAGGAGTGGAAGATGCTTTGCCAATGCCCTGGCCAAGAGACGACTTATATCTACATCCATCCTAATAAAAAGCCAGTGAAAGCTCTCTTCTAGGCCCACAGCAGACTCAATAGCTGCAATTACGGATTCCATTGCGACAAGATCGTATTCTTACTTTTCTGATTCTAATAATGCATTTATGCTCCAGTCGGGCGATTCATTCTGTCCGTGCCCGTCCATTCTGTCGTTCGAATAACATCCCTCTCGGTAAGTGAAGCTCCCTCCACCCGCCGCCCTCTCTATCCGCTAACTTCGGTACCCGGGGCATTTCCCTCACATGCTGAAGAAAGAAAGCCCCTCTCTTTTATTTATAACATTTCTAAAGAAATTTACCCAGCCAAAACTACTTCCTTTATTTCTAGTTTTCCCCGTCAAGTTGAAGAAGACTCGCCCCCGAGTCGTTAGTGCTTTCTTCACCATAATAAGGAAAAAGATCAGAAACTTTCAATGTTTCTGAAACCTCATACTCAGCTGGTAGTTCAATCTTGTAGGAATTTTCACCAATGCGTTTGAGAACTTTGAATGGTCCATCAGCTCTAGGCTTGAGCTTAGCAAATTATCCTCGCGGGAAACGCTCCTTTCGAAGATGAACCTACACCAGATCACCTTCTTTGAACTCAGAAAACTTGCGATGCTTGTTAGCTTGAGCTTGATACTTCTCATTTTGCTTAGTTAGAAATTTTCTCGCTCATGCAACTTATAAATTTTCTTCAACCGCATCTCCACTAAAGTTGTGAGTAGCTGGAAGTGGAGCTAAGTCCAGAGGACTCTCGGGATTTTGGCCATAAACAGCTTAAAAAGGACTACTTCCACTAGCTTTAGATTAGGAGTCGAGAGAAGTCTTCGAAGAACTGCCGTAATGGCGAAAGACGAATCAGGGAAGGAGGCAAAACGATTCATAATCACTTTGCTTACGCCCTCTTCCCACCAGTACCCATAAGCCCGTTAGGGTGCGAAGCCAAGGCTTCAGGATGGAGAATAAAAACTATCATTCAGTGCCCTGCAATGCTGGTGGTCACAAGATGTACCATCCCAAGATGTGTACACTCGTGCTGGTAGCCGGCTTCTTACTCCAGATTGAGCGACGAGAAGGAATTAGCCCTCTGCGTCCTTCACAAGATTGGTCTTCGACACCAACCCATCATTGCGTGGGAACCCTATATAGATAGGGCACCTTGGTATGACCTAAGGTGTGAGCTGCATGACTGTCATCCATCCATGACTGGATGCAAACTCACTTAGGTTTTGTAGACCATGTTAGTACCACGAAGGTACCGGACAGCCTAAGACGACTACAGATTCCCAAGTCACAAGCCCACGGGAATCTCTAATGATTTTATCCAGCCTCACCCCTTGGCGCACCCATCCGAGTTCACCTTTACCCTCCGAAAAGACCAGGAAAGAAAGAGAAGCAAAGATGCAACTCAACTCTTAGTTAGTGATGCTTACCAATGGAGGATGTGGCCAATACAGATCGAGCCAATTCAAAGACGGGGATTTGAACCCAGAAGAACCATCTCCATTTCTATTTAGCAAACCAATGACCTTGCTCTTCTTCCAATCCACCTACCCAATACCAAAGAAAGTTCTTCCGTTAGGCTCTATAAGCCCGAAGCGAAGATATAAAGCTTTACGAATAGATCCGCGGAAAGTAATTAATTCAAGAAAGCCTGTGCAATCTCTAATTCAGATAGATTGTCCCTTCTTTCTTTGCGGTTTTCTTTGTTCTGCCCCCACCCCAGGTCGAGGTATACCTTTTGCCCTAGCTAGATTCCATTCAAAGGCAGATGCTGCCCTCCTCACTGAATAAGCAGATAAAGTTATAGTTGCCGCTAATAAAAGAGTTATTTAGCACTTTCCAATTCCAGGTGGAGATGATGTACTAGCTTTTTGACCAGCTTCATAAACAACCTCTCTGGAGTTCCTTGGTTCTCACTCCTTATTCTTTCTTTTTCTTCGCCTAGGGCTACATGGCACTAACTTTCTTACTTGTACGGAGAGCTACACGCCCCAAGCTTTTAGATAAGCTAAAGCAAGGGGTTTCGTCGTCGCAGTTGCCCTTATTAGATGGTCTGTCCAGGAAATAACTTCCTTTTTTCAAGAGAACCCCACCCCAAAAATATAATGTCATCCAAGTTTGGGTTTAGTTATGCTTTAGTGAAGGCTTTCTCGGTCTTTAATTGGGGGCTGTAGAACTAATATTGGGCGGCTCTAAATGATGAACTACTTTAGCGACTGGGGGGGCCGGTTCCCTAAACCAAGCCTTTCCTTCTCTTCTTATAGCATAGCCCTTGCTTGGGCAAGGAAAGGCTCTAAGAAGAGGTTCGGTGGGAGCCAAGACGAATTTATAATTTCATTACCACCAGACCACTAACTAGCAGCGAAAGGTGGAATAGCTAGATTTGACCTTATTATTATCTTTTTATTGATTCGAGAAAACCTTGGATTTTCCGTTGAACCCGCTTACGGACTTGAGTTGCTACAACTGGAAAAAGGGAGCACAGGTTTGTTTTCTTATCTGAAGCCTAGAATCGTCCTCTTGTGCCATTACAACTTCAAGAAAGAAGGCCCCCTTGCACTAATACGAAATATTTAAAGAGAATAAAAGGTAAGGGAAGGTTCCGAGAAAGAAAAATCCAAGACTTCGGTTAGCGGGGAGCGCCCCTGTCCTCTTTTCTCCCCCCCTTTTCTTTTGAGAAGCCGAACCTAGTCTTTGTTTGTGTGAGTTGTAGCGGATCACGTGGCTCGATGGAGGTTCCTCAGCGTCTTTTGTTTGAATGACTACCGCGTGCCATTTTACCTCAGTCATTTTGTCCTACTTGCTTTTTTCCGAATATCCTATAACGTACCATCTAGTTCTCGTCTTGTAAGCCTGGAAGGGAAGATGAAAGTGCTCCTTCTTCTTCTTACTCCCGCCCGATCAGGGAGAATGACTCTTTTAAATCTAGGATCCGACCATTATTTGGTACACTGGACTATGTTGGTTTCCAAGAGATCACTGATAAACGGGTACTCCCGGATGGAAGGAAGGTACATATCAGATATATAATTATCTTGCTCTAAGTTCTTTATTGCCCTAAAATAGAATTGAGTACCTATTGGATGTAGGCGCGCTCTAGCATGGGGAATCGCTAGTAATCGCGGCACCGCCCATAAAAATAGTATATGTTGACAAAAGGTAACATAGGGGAAAGTCCTTGTTGTCCTTTCTCGACGACAGTTCGCCAAGGTAGATCGAAAGTCCTATATAAATATAAGGAGGTACATCGCATTATTACACCGTCAAAAGAACAACAATGAAAGACGAATTTCAATACATCATCGATCTCATAAGTATCAAAAGCTCATGCTATTTGAACGCGCTTTACTAAAATGCTCCCAGCACCTTTATGAGCTCTAAGATAGAGTATTACCGGCGCCGGCGCTAATGGGATCCAAGGTTTGTCCATTGGGATTAACGATCCTTAGAAACCTCCACAAGGCCATACGCTTTAGTTTTAGTCGCCGCTAAAGTGGTATTCTCCGAAAAACCGCGGTGATTGTAAATCCATCATTGGCTAAAGGCACGATGATTGACTAGTGCCAGTACCGCTTTTTGAAAGTAAGTGAAATAAGTGAACAAATGATAAGAATAGAAGATAGGGCTTGCTTTCTGACGGAACGTAGTGCGGATTTTTTTGCGTTTCGAAGTGCATGCCCTACCAAAATTTAACAATGTTATCTCGATTTCGTCATGTTGAAACGAGTTATATAGATACAGGCTTAATTTTTAGGCTGGCGACTTATTACTCTCGAGATTCTTCGAAAACGATTCAAGATGAAAGAACAAAAAAAAGCAAAACAGCTATTTATAGTATATAAAGGAAACATCTATATTAGAGTCGCGAAACCGCTAACTAAAGGTAAGTGATTGATCTGCCGCTTTCTTTACTAACATAGAAATGCCGTCAAATGGAAAGGCGGATATCCGTGATCGGTCTAAATCGAATGAGAAGGAACATGATGCACGTCAGAATCGATATAAGGAAAACACCGCTTCATTCAGCTCCACTTATCGCCTTACTAAAAATAAAGGAGTTACACATAGTTTATGCTAAACCCTATAGGCTCTGCATATTGGAATTGCTTTACTTCTCGCTGGGAGTTATGTTAAACCAGCAGAGTAAAAGGATAGGGTTGAATATGGATTGAATGGAATAGGTCTTTCCCTAGCCTCCCGCCCTATAGAGGTAAACCTAAAATTTAAGGTGTACTTATAGGAAGACCCTTATTTCGTCACAGAACCACGATCATAGGATCTGAGTCCGATCTCGGAATCCCTTTGGTTTAGCATGGCAAATAGTTTTTAGGAGGGAACAGGGGCCTGTTGAATTTGTAAGACTCAAAACCTCCGTCAAACCTACTGAGTAATTACTAAGTTTTCATTGGATGGTTCATCTGCTCCCAAAAAGAATATGTATGTGCTTGGTGAGAAAGAAGTCCTTTTAGGTTATAGGGAAGGGGATAGTGTAAGGTTCCTTTCTATTGCCAAGAAGTAAAAAAGACAAAATTCCACCAGAAGGTATATCCTGAAGATATGATCAATCAGTCCAATGGGCACCTGAAGGCCTGGTAAATAGCCAGTATAACTTCCTTCACTCTCTGGTAGCGAGAAAGCTTCTGTAAATCAGAGGGTAGAAGGTGAAGCGGTGGTGGTGATCTAGTCTTCAAAATAAAATCTCGAAGAACTAGACAATACTTTACTTACCAGCCTTACTAGGCAAGACAGAAACCAATCCTAGAACTACAAGATGATACGACTTCTCCTAACGACAAGTAAAGGCATACCCGAACATAAAGGAGAGCGGATTTCCCTCTATTAGAAAACAAGAATGGAAGTCCATATAAATTAGGGGGAAAGGAGAAAGCTCAAGCGCGTGGCACAAAACAGTGGGTTCCTGATCTTGTCTTCCTTCAGGCTAAAGCTTCAAGTCTCAATCCGAAGTCAAAGAGAACTATTCAACAACATCCCTCTTTTCTACATACATTCCTGGGGTTTTTGGTTGCTTGGTTTGCTTAACGTTCCTAATTTCTATCGTCAATAGATAAGGGCTCAGACGATGTTATCTTTCCCAAGGGGGGAAAGCGCTTTAACATTAGTGAAGACTAGCTATATATCATGCTACTTCAGCTAGAAGCTATATGCTTCTTTTCTTAAGACTAGTCTTAAGACTCATTCTATCCTATCTATCCACCTGAGAGAGATCAATCCTGTAAAGAGCCTCACCTAAAAGACCAGTAACAGCCTATTCTTGCAGACAGCGGATTCTCTTTCTTTATCTTCATCCGCCCCTACTCGTCTTTGCCCTGCCATTTCCAGTCATTTACAATGCCAATGATTAAAAAAAGAATAAGGAAGCCGGCTCATCTTTGATTCTAATGTGCCAATTCCTCTCTTCAATGAAAGATTGATCCGTCACTTCCCGAAGAAAGGGACTCCTAGAGTGTGAACCCAGGATCTGAGATGTGGAAACATTTTCCGAATCTACATACGCCGAAGCCTAGAAAGAAAATTTATAAATTTAATATTATTGCTCCATCCGGAATTAATTTCCCACCTACCTTGGGATAAGTGGTTGCCGGAAGCTTGAGACTTGAATGGTAATTACTTGAACACCCGATTATGGTATTAATATAACTTAATAAGTTCATCCCGTGAGGTAATCTATACCCGTGCTATAAGGAATATAAAAACGGACTTGTATTTTTCTTTTATAGGATACTGGAAATGAGACTACAGTAAGAGTCCGGGTGTAAGCTCAAGTAGTGGTAGCTCCGTGAATAACAAACTCAATATTTAATTCCTACCCACTAAGTAAAGGAGTCCAGTCTGAGTAGCTGGATCATCGAAAGACTTCCATTAGTGAATCGTTATAGCATTTTGTATCGATAGCGCTTCTTTTTGAGGAGATTCCGTATTTGATCCATGCTTGCGATCTCGGCTGTGAAATTAAAATTATCTTTTGGCTTGGTAATGGTTTTCTTTTTCTTTAGGTAATGAATGTTGTTCCTTTGTTTCATCGCATAGAAGTTTTGTTTTGCCCAAGTCTGAAGATAGAGATAGATATGAATCATCCGCTATGGAAGGAGATGCGGCACTTGCCATTTCATCCCTAGCCTTCGTCTCATATAGGACATTAGTTCAGGTCAGCCCCTTGGTATGCAAAGATCAGTATCACGCGTACGTGAATCATTAAATGAATAATTTTCCAATTTCAATTTTAGTTATCGAGTGTAAATCAATGTTATGCCTTTTTCAGTGTTATAAATATGATTGAAACCTTCACTTTCGAACCCTGTGAGGAGTCAGCTTCCAATTGAGTCGGTGTGTTAAGTATAGACTTTCCACATACATTAATAGGGCTTTTTAGCCATTCGACGTTTTGTCTCTTTTTTTCCCAATGCTGCCTGAAATATAAGAAATAATAGAAAGAAGCGGCTAAGCCCCTGCTTGATAAAGCAAAACTAAAATGCGGGTAGCTCGATCGCTTCGATTGGTTTCGGTCTAATCAATGAATGTATAGGGGTCCACCTAATCTTTCCGCAGGTACGATCTAGACGACCACATTCCTGTTCGCCTGGGCTAATCAATCCAATGGCTTCGCCCGTTCCAGTCCCCGGGATCCTAAACTAACTGGATATTCGGAGCCTATAGATCCCGCATCGGATTGATCTGACTCCAGCACCACCCCCATGAAATCTTTTTCTTTGTTTCTTATATGGATGAATTCTTCTTCTATGCCAAAATTCAAAGTTTATTTCTTTCTCCAAGTCTTTTACTTTTCCCTTTTCCTAGGTTTGCTTCTTGAACTTGAACGACCGGTTGTTGAGTCTTATTCCCCCATATGATCTGAGAAAGCCTCTTCTTCGTAAGAAAGCTAGGGCTAAAGCTCAGGGATGGAAGCCAAAACAAAGCGAAAGAAAACAGCATTCAAAGTGGAATGTCTAATTTTGTGGTAAGAATCGCCATTCGTAACCGCTGAAGCAGGAAGATCTGATCGCTACCCCTGAGTGAGAGGGGGTGTTTTCAGAGCAATCAAAGCAATCACGACGAACAAAAGAGGGCCGGATTCGCAAATGTGTGTTCTCGGGTTATGGATTTAACATAGTATAAATAGATTCGGCAAGAGATTGCGCGGCATAAGACTCTCTCGACCTGTTAAGCCCATACTAAAATTCCAGGACATTCATGAATCTACTCGAGCTCTTTGGCAGTCCTTACCCACCTTTCATGTAAAAAGGCGACTCGCAAATGTTTATGGTTCTAAGGGAAAGTACCTCCTACTAAACGTCCTTATTGAAAACAAAAGCGACACCCCTTGTTGAAATAAGATTCAATAAAGCAGACCACTTTTTTCCTTGGGCCGTAGAGAATAAAACAAAATTTCCCCGGAAAAGAGGATAAGAATCTGATGTCGAATAGGGATATAATTTTCCTTCAATTAATTATTGAACCAAGTAGTGGCTCTTTCCCGACCGGATGTTCTCTCAATCCCTTAATTAAGGGAAGATGGAAATAATCCCTAAAAGTCTCAGTCGCAAGCAACCTAAATATGGCACCTGTCGCAGGGCCCCACTCGGATGACTGGTTTTGAGGAAAGGAACTATATCCTTACGTACTAGGTTTTTAAGCTAGTCTGATACCCGAAGGCTCGGCTCTTGTTTAGAGTAGAGGTAGGTCTCTTTTGGAAGCGTTCGCCAGTGACTAGCTCAATCGAGGATTAAAGACGTGAAAGCTGAGTTCAAAAGGAAGGTGTAAACAAACGGCGAAAAAAGCTGAGGCTTTATCTCATTCTAATATAGTGTTGAATACACTTGCTAGAGAAAATGCTATTGGCCTTTTCGGCTTAGTCACTCTCGCGTCGTTCCGATTAAAGGATTTAACAAGAAGAGTTGCTACGTGTAACATAAAGAAGACTGAGAATCAGGGCTTCCTCTAACAAGAGAAGAAGCCATTAGTAGTCCAGGTTAGGCTTTCGGTTTAATACCAATCTCCCGCAGAGTAGTGTTAAAACAATAATAGTTGTATGGGCTCAGCCCTAGTTCTTAAGGCGAAGTCTCACATGAAAGAGAAAAGTCAACATGAGACTCGAAAGACGCTCGGCGATAAAGAAAATAAAATGACTCTTTCTTCAGTGGACATGGTGGAGGCTCATGCACTTACACTTAGGAAAGGTTCTGACCTGGCTTTTTATCTACATCTATCTTATGTTTGTATGTATGAAAACGGATTCATCTCAGGTCTTGAAAGCTTTTCATAGTCAAAAGTCGTCTACAGATCGCAGTCTGAGGCCTATTGTTAGTGATGTGCAGCAACTCCTGATGTCCCACCACAGCTGGTCGGTATAAAGGGTGAACAGATTAGCCAATGCTTCGGCCGATTGGGTGGCAAAGCATCTTCCTGACTGAAAGTGTCGACCTTACTGGGTGCAGAGTCCTCCACCAGCTAAGCTATTCTTGCTATTTTAAGAGAAGATCATCATTGTCTGACTTAGGCCTTGATGTCTTTTTATTTCAGCTTTCAATGCCCGGAATAGGAACGAACTGAGATGATTCGATAGTGGGAACTCATGAGCGCTCATCCATTCTTTGCCGGGAACCAGAGCAGGCATAAATTACCTTGATCGAAAGTGAGCCCTTCACGAAGCATGGAAAGTCAAAGGATGCGAAGAGAGCGCCACTACTATCTTTCCGGGAAAGATAACTCCTAGGTTAGGCCGACAAGACATCAAGAGGGAGAGAAAGAAAATGAGCCAAACCTAAAGCCCGTAGGGTGTAAATTGATAAGACCAATAGGGAATCAAAAGGCAAGATTGAGAGATAGAAGTCCAGGCTTGTCGCCAAGGGGTTCACTCTGAAAGAGGACATCGACTACACTGAGACCTTATCCCCGCTTTCTATTCCTTCCCGGCCTGCTGTCGTCAACGGTCCGCTTCCTTGAATGAGAGTTGGTCTTCCCGATCCACGAATACTGTCTGTTGTCCTTTACTTGTTTAGTGGCATCTGTCTTAGGGCATATGGAATTCTCAGTTTCGGTATTCTAATTTGTAAACGGCCGAACTAAGCTAAGCGCTTGGCTTGTCTTATTAGGTTCCCAACCGACCTGTACATTAAATATTGAAATCCGTTACAGAAAAGAATGAACATAACGAGGCTTGGAGTATCTAAAACTAAGTCCAGCGAACTGGAAGTATCTCCAGACTCCCTCATTGCTTGGCTATCGAAGTGGACTTGTACATTGATAGCCTTTCGCGTGCGTCGACACGACATGCTTACCTTTCATTCTTTTACCCTTCTTATCCCTCGGCTGGAAGGAATAGAAAGAACACAACTATCATAAATAAAGCCGGGAGAACTCCTATATATTACATTACAGCGGGATAAATTCCTACATGAAAGAAAGCTACACCCATCCTAAAAAAATCTCAATAAAGGTACAAGGCTCTAAGAGAGAGCCATGCTGAAGGAGAGACCCGAACAGAGACTGGGACGAACAAACAGAGACGCGAAGCGCATCGAAGAGCTTCGTTAAGCCCGTTAATTCTGTACGTAAGAGAATATCCCACTGGTCGATCAATCAATGAAATAATTACTACAATTGTGGTGGTACCAACATGGCCAGTTAGCTCAGAAACCCTCTACCCACTATAATAAAAGTAGAGGCGCTTACCCACTCTAATAGTTCGCCTTACGGCTCACCTTGGAAGTTTGGCTTACCTGAAAAACTTCCACTCCCCTCGTTGACAATCACCAATGAACTACGACCACGGCCAAGATTCTTTCTACCACGACCTCGCGCGGTAACCTGTGTTGCTTTAAAATAAAAACTGTTATGGTACTGTTGTCACCAATCCTCTGGCCTTGGGAAGGCCACCTCCTACACTATAATAGGTCATTGAAGGCGAAAATCCGACGGATCAACCGTTACGGGACAGAAGCTTTAGCACTCAATCTGTCTCTGTTGCTGCTTCCCGGTAACATTGATCAATAAATTTACGGGCAGAACCTTCCTTTCAGTCTATCGAGTGCCTGACTTCTCTATTGATCTGACCGGCTCGATTGAGACAGAGAGTAAAGGTGCGAATCGGCTAAAAGGCTGAGTCCGAGACTGGGAGAAGAACTAGCAATAAATGCAGACTTCGCTCCGCACCTTTAGGTAAAGATCCCCTCCAATCTTCCTTTAATGGAGATATTCTAAAATGTAACTTCCGGTAAGAAAGGGGATAGATTATCGAAAAAAAGATGTGCGCTTCTTCTTGATGCGGCAGACTGCCTCTTTCTAGATAGATTCTATGGATGCTGATCTGTCTCTTTATTGGACCAAAGAGTGGCTCTCCGCGGAGTTTGTTCCGATGCCTGTCGTGCCTTGCAAGATTGAGATATCAAGGCTGGTACCAAAGCAAAGAGAAGAATAAGAATCTAATCTCTGCTGCCCACAACATAAAGGGGCTCATTACTCGTTTTCGTATTGGATTGGGATGGGACTATCCAATAACGAATTCCCTTCTTCTTTCATTTCACTACTCCTTTCTTTCAACTTTCAAGGCTGCTTAGTTCGTAGTTGAAGGAAGGTCTCGTATCCCGAGATCTATGTGAAGAGAATAATCTTCGGTGAGTGAACAATGAGGCTATGCTTTCTACAAGGCACTGTAAGCTCATGGTCAATCCATTCATCGAAACAGAAGGACGGCCAGCCCATAAGAGAAGAGGCTTATCCATGTAAAAAACATAATAGACGAGCTCATAAGACCCTGCCTTTGAGGCTAATTCGAAGAAGAAGATTCCGGAATAGTCCAACCGGGTAAACCAATTCTTATCCTTCTTCTCGTCCATCTTAGCAGAGACGAAATGGAATCGGTCAGGAATAGCCTTTAAGGATTCTAGCTCCTCTAGACCATACCTGTTTAGCCGATGTCTTAAATATAAGACTGGTAGAAATTTTAGGAAAAATTTAATTTAGAAGCCATGACATGACCAGCTGATTTGTGGCACTCCAGTCAGCCATCTTAGTCTCACTCATATTGGGGATCAGAGAAAGAAAGCGGGCTGACCTCAAAAAATAGGTTCCTGCTCCATAAACGCTTTCCTACAATGAACAGACGAACCGAGCGAGCCCAATGCAAAGAACTCCAGTGAGGAGATTTGGTTACCTTATTTTCTAATACGTAATACGAGGAGGTAATTTGTTGATACCGAGAATGATAGAAGAAGCTTCAAAACCCCTGCTTGAGAATCCGGTCTTTGAGAAGGAGCTACATGTGTTCTTGTTCGAGAATCCGCATCCCGTCGAATCAGCTGTGAGGGTTAAAAGGGCTTACGACGAATAGGCTCTTTGATGGGGCATTACTGGGTCACTATAAATATCATACATAAGATAAGAAAAAGGGTAAGTAAAAGAAAGGCATTGCGTCCTTCTCTTTTCCAGTACAAGAGTTCCTATTTTGTGCCCGAGACGAAGGATGGATTGATTGCCCGACTATAGGCAAGAGTTGACTGACTTCCAGGAACTCCTGCAACGTTCTGCGCCTTTTTCTTTCTAAGTTTTTAATATATCTTTGGTCACTTTCTTTGTGCAAGTAATCTTATTTTGCTTCGAGCACAGGGCTTCACAAGTCAAGTAACGGATCCCATTACTGTAGGGCTTTCCGCCCAAATGCTCTAATAGAGCTCTTCCCGCCTTCCAGATAAAACCTAGTGAAAACTTGTTTTAGAGGTTGGTTTGAATGGGGGGTTGCTCCTATCTTGACTCGATGCTTGGTCACTAGCAGACTTGTCCCTCTGTGGATTCGTAGACCCACTAAAGTCAAGGTAGGTCAAAGAAAGGACTATCTCCGGTGGATCTTCTAACTTAAGTCTGTGGTCGTAGAGAAGGAAAAGAGCCTAATTTCGGGGCTGGAGAGGTCGGAGAAGCCTCTGATTGACATAGTTTCCTATGGCAAACACCCTTCTCTTTCCCGCACCAGACTCAACTGAATGCGAGAACCCGCCAGGATAGCAAAATAAGTCACCAGTACTGTCAAACTCCATCAGAATACATTTTTTAATTGTAACAGAACTATTGGCTGATATATTGGATAGCCAATCATCCCATTCATCACGAGGTGGTAATGGATGACCATAAAAAAGGCTTCTGATCCTTTCGATGTAAGCTTCTGCGTCATTCCTAATGCTAATGCAGGGTTAACAGACATCGATAAACGGAGCATAGCGAACCAGAGTCACTGTGATGTAAAATTGGCAAATATGCCTCTTTCACGGCGAGACTGACCAGGTCGCTTACGATCCGTTGGCAGAGCCTTCCAAGTCAGTTCCCACGAGATTCCCTGGTAAAGGGGGCGTGAGAGGGCTTGATATAGGTACCGATTGGCTAGTGTACGTATTAACCCTCGTAGCCAATCTCTGACTTCTTAAAATTTGTGAACGTCAGACATAGGATCAGTTATGCTAGCAAACAAAGACGGAGAAATCCGTTTTGCTAACTTAATCGCTCTAGATAAACTAAAGAACGATAAGTAGAGTTTAACTAGCATATCAGCTTTATCATCCCTTTTATATATAGATTTGTTGTCTATGAAAGGATGGTCTGATCCTAGGGTAACCTGATCTAGTGAGTGATACGGGTACAGATAGTTTAGTATGAATATCATACGGGGTAATCCCACCGTACGCCTGTTGAAGTGTTACTGCGCACTGCTTCAGATATAAAGCAGTAAACAGAGCGCCTGACCGGCGATTCAAACTACCTGCTTGGCAAAGAGGTATGCTCCGATACAGAGCTCCTTGGTTAGGTTAGACCATCAGTGACTACTAAAATCAACTTATTACACATTGACTTTAGTAGCCGAAGATCTTCCACCATTGGATGAGTCTAACTATAGATATCCTATAAAAAAAGTTTTCCAGATGGAAGCCTATTATCTAAATAGATAAGCTTCCTACGCTGGTTTGGTTACCTGCATGAGGCCGCTTGATATCATATCTGACCCCACCCGGGTGGCTTCCGCGTCACCCCCAGTTGCTCCATTCTGGATCCCTGAGTGATAGAATAGCTATAAGCTAGCCCACCAAACCTCACCTTGATGAGTTTCACTAAGTAACCGGGGGGTGCCTATTTGACTAACATAGGGCTCTGCCTTACCAAGCAGAGTGAGGTTATAAACTATAATTTTGTGATAGGACTGACCCTGGTGAGAACCAGCCTATCACGCGAGGTTCCGCCTCGTTGGCCTTAGTCTTGCGATCTAAGGGTGAAGGAGTCATGGATTGGTTACCCGGTTTACCCCTATCCGTATCTACATCTACGTCCTGATTGAGTTACATAGAAACTAAGAGAACTTGAAAGCAAGAGATCCAACAGGAATAAAATTTATATATATTTTTAAATAATATAGTTCAAAATCCCCCGAACCTCTGATCCGATAGAAGCTATAATATGCATCTACGACTAGCTACAGGAACTAGATGAAAACTTCTACAACAGGGTATCGAAGAATGCATTCTGACATCGAGTCCTCAATCAATGTAGATGATTCAACAAGGTAGACCGAAGCAACTCGTCGATCAGCTATCACCACATCATTGCCGAGAATGGCATAGCGATCAAACTAGTGCTAGTGACTGTCTACGGCTACGGCTTATGCCTTCACTCGGGGGAGAGCACCCATCCAAAAAGCAGAAAAGTGAAGAAGTGCAGAAGGAA